TAATGCTGAATATCCCTTGTTCTTTCTTGCTCATTACAGATGTATTAGTCTATTTATCCTCTTGCTTTGAAGTGCATTGATTGTTTGTATTGACCGTTTAAATTGATGTACTAATGAGTCTGCTAACTTGTCTCCCATTGGTCCTGACGAAGCTGAGTAAGATATGCCTACCGTGAAACGCACTGATGTCATACGTCTGGCCACGCACAAACGGATTCACGCTCCCAGTCTCGGGTTGGGATATGGAGCACCACACGCAATTTTCCGGTACAGACCTTCCGCAACGGTGCACCTTTCTGGAAGCAGGGCTTTGCCGTTGGGGACCCTGACACGGAGGCTGCCATCACAAATACTTTTCGAAAACCTACAGCAGCTAATACATTATTAGAGGCTGGAAGTCATCACCCACGTTCTAATTAATGGTATCCCAATTGGGCAGTTTCTGTGTGTGCCGAGGACATACAAATGTACCTCTCCACCCCTCACCTCAACCCCTCACTCTCCGCCCGCATCGCCCACCTCTTGAAAGATATATCAGACTGGGATGTCGCTCCATTTCCTCAAGTTAAACCTGTCCAAAACTGAGCTTCTAGTTTTCCCCCCCAGCCCGCGCCCCCCCCCCCCCCCCCCCATCACGACTAGCAACGCCACCATCAATCCCACCCCACACGCCAAAGTCCTGGGTGTCACCCTGGACTCGAACCTTTCCTTCCAACCTCATGTCCAATCACTATCAAAGTCATGCAGGCTCCACCTTCGCAACATCTCAAGATACGTACATTCCTCACACCCCAGACACTACTAAACAACTCGTACACTCCCTTATTATCTCTTCACGCCTAGACTACTGCAACTCCCTTCTCACTGGCATACCCAAACAAATGCTATCCCCACTCCAGTCTATCCTGAACTCAGCAGCTAGACTCATCCACCTCACCAACCGCTCCACTTCTGCCACCCCCCTCTGCCAGTCCCTTTACTGGCTCCCTATTGCCCAATGCATTAAATTCAAACAACTAAATCTGACATACAAAGCCATTCACAACGCTGCCCCGAACTACCTAACCGACCTGATACCCAAATACCACCCTACCCGTGCCCTTCGCTCCTCACAGGGCCTCCTACTCTCCAGCTCCCTAGTCTCCTCCTCCCATGCCCGACTGCAGGACTTCTCCAGGACTTCCCCCATCCTCCGGAACTCCCTACCCCAATCCATCAGACTGTCACCTACCCTCCTCACCTTCGTTGCAACTATACGAAGGCAGTGCTCTGCCTATAGAAGTCCTGACACGGCAGCTGCTTAAACGGACATCACAAAAGGTAACCATTTACTCCAGGGATGGTGACTATATATCTCTATATTAAGTTGGTGAGCTGCATATTCCACCTGTATTTCGATGACATGTCACTTATATCAAAGGACATCACTTTGTTATATTTGTTGACCCTTTGTGGGTCTCACAAGACTACTACTGTACGATACATACAGTATACAGTCATGGCCGAAATTGTTGGCGGCCAGTACCCCTTGATATTTCTCCAGGAAATCATGTATTTCTCACGAAACGTATTGCATTAATGCACATGTTTTGCTATACACATGTTTATTCCCTTTGTGTGTATTGGGACAAAACAAAAAAAGGGAGGAAAGAAAGCAAATTCGACATAATGTCACACAAACCTCCAAAAATGGGCTGGACAAAAGTATTGGCACCCTTTCACAACTGCGGATAAATAAGAATGTTACAAGCATGTGATGCTCCTGTAAACTCACCTGGGGCAAGTAACAGGTGTGGGCAATATAGAAATCACACCTGAAAGCAGATAAAAAGGAGAGACGTTCACTTAACCTTTGCATTGTGTGTCTGTCTGTGCCACACTAAGCATGGACAACAGAAAGAGGAGACGAGAACTGTCTGAGGACCTGAGAACCAAAATTGTGGCAAAATATCAACAATCTCAAGGTTACAAGTCCATCTCCAGAGAACTAGATTTGCCTTTGTCCACAGTGCGCAACATTATCAAGAAGTTTGCAACCCATGGCACTGTAGCTAATCTCCCTGGTCGTGGACGGATGAGGAAAATTGATGAAAGATTGCAACGCAGAATAGTCCGGATGGTGGATAAGCAGCCCCAAACATGTTTGCCCAAAGACATTCAAGCTGTCCTGCAGGCTCAGGGAGCATCAGTGTCAGCGCGAACTATCCGTCGACATTTAAATGAAATGAAACGCTATGGCAGGAGACCCAGGAGGACCCCACTGCTGACACAGAGACATAAAAAAGCAAGACTACAGTTTGCCAAAATGTACTTGAGCAAGCCAAAAGCCTTCTGGGAAAACGTCTTGTGGACAGATGAGACCAAGATAGAGCTTTTCGGTAAAGCACATCATTCTACTGTTTACCGAAAACGGAATGAGGCCTACAAAGAACAAAACACAGTACCTACGGTAAAATATGGTGGAGGTTCAATGATGTTTTGGGGTTGTTTTGCTGCCTCTGGCACTGGGTGCCTTGACTGTGTGCAAGGCATCATGAAATCTGAGGATTACCAAAGGATTTTGGGTCGCACTGTAGGGCCCAGTGTCAGAAAGCTGGGTTTGCGTCCAAGATCCTGGGTCTTCCAGCAGGACAATGACCCCAAACATACGTCAAAAAGCACTCAGAAATGGATGGCAAAGAAGCGCTGGAGAGTTCTGAAGTGGCCAGCAATGAGCCCAGATCTAAATCCCATTGAACACCTGTGGAGAGATCTTAAAATTGCTGTTGGGAAAAGGTGTCCTTCCAATAAGAGAGACCTGGAGCTGTTTGCAAAGGAAGAGTGGTCCAAAATTCCGGGTGAGAGGTGTCAGAAGCTTATTGATGGTTATAGGAAGCGACTGATTTCAGTTATGTTTTCCAAAGGGTGTGCAACCAAATATTAAGTTAAGGGTGCCAATACTTTTGTCCAGCCCATTTTTGGGGTTTTGTGTGACATTATGTCATATTTGCTTTTCTGCCTCTGTTTTATATTTGTTCCAATACATACAAAGGGAATAAACATGTGTATAGCAAAAAACATGTGTTAACGCAATACCTTTTTTGTGTCTTGATTTTCAGGAAAAATATCAGGGGTGCCAACAATTTCGGCCATGACTGTATGTATATTGATCTCGGCGATTAGCCAAAGGGGCCACATACTATCTGGGCTGCATCCAGTGCCTTATCTGCCACCACTTTGTTACATGTGTATGCACACTGACTCTTCTCACCCATGTCGTATATCAGGAATATATTCACCATGTGACCTCTCCTTAAGTGGGGCCTGTTTCCCTGTTTCCCTGATAGTAGAGGTTACACCTGCTCCAACATTTTATTTTCTATTGGTCCTACAGCACTGTTACTGTATCTCCCATACCAATATATGTATCCTATTTCCGGTGGTGCACCCTGATGTGTTTGCTGTATAGGCAAAAGACCTTTGAGTCATTCCTTTCACAGCATACTTTTTGAGCTTGGCCTAGCCATGATATCTCTCCATTTTATTTTTTGTTTTTAGGTTGTTTTGTATTGTCATTGAGGTGATGGCTACCTTGCAGTCTTTACTGTTTCATATTGCTATTTTGCTAATAAAAGCATCACGATTACAGTCACATGTATCACATTGTCCTTTATGTAACCGCTTTTCTTCTGTGAACAGTCTGTTCACATTGCTTTTTTCATTGGTTACTGGGCAATATTTAAAGCGATACCCACCATTTTTATGCCTCCATTTACATGGTTATTATACTGTAATGGTAGCCCCTGTCCGAGTGGTCAGGACCTATAGCTTAGTGTAGCGTCACCTATAGCCGACCCCATTCCTATAAGCCAAGCAAGCCTAGCCGACTGATATGTGGCTGCCCCCAGGAATGCCGTGTTCACTGGCCAGGAAGAACAAATGAATTCCTGTGGTTTTAGTTCAGTTGTGAGTTGTTCTGGGGATGACTGGGACTGGTGTCTTATGGGAAAGTATTAAGTGTAAGGTGCAGATGGGCCCCTTTTAGGTGGCAGGCAGAGACATGGTCTGCAAACAGGCAAAGGATTGGTCCAGACAGCAGGCAGAAATATGGTCACCAAACAGGCTAGGGTTAATACAGGGGGCAAGCAGAAGCAACACTGCACTAGTGTGGAGGTGATCAGGACCACTATTACTTATTGCACTGGCTCTTATGACACTGTACTTGATGTGGTGGTGATTAGAGACACTGTTGATGGCTGCACTGGCTCTGGTGACACTGGCCTGGTTAGTGAGCAGGAACACTGTTGCTGGCTTACACTGGAGTGGTGCCACTGGGACTGGTGTGGCTAGCGATCAAGAACACGTTTGCTGGGATACACTGATCAGGTGACACTGGGACTGAAAACATACTAAGAAAATGCCACAATAAATAGGTGGATCACATGGAATGACTCTGTTAGGGATCCGGGTGTGACCAGAAATGTGTGGACTGACACAGGGAAGTAGCAGGCTTCAAGAACACAGGCGTAGTCAGGGCTGGAGAGGTGGAATGGTCAGGCAGGCCGTTTGGTACTGTTAAGCCGCCTGGCAGAGTCTCTAGCAGCCCACCGCATGGACGCCCTCAGGGCGCGGGGTCTAAGTCCCAGCCTGCTGTTCACCAGGGCCCCTGATGGTGGGGATGGACTTGGTGCAGACTGGAACCAGGTCGCGACCCCCGAATGCGACCTGCGGTGGTAGAGAGTACTGACGGGAGTGCAGGAACGGAATCTAATTTGGAAGAGGCAGACAGATACACTGGTCTGATCCGAGCTGGATGGATGGATGGAAGGTCGGGTACAGTATGCGTGGTCAGACAGGCCGGGTCGGTATTATGCGGGCAGCGAGGTACAAGAGGAGCGAGCTAAAAATGGTCAGGTCATAAGCCAGGTTCAGCAGGATGCAAGCAAATACACTACCAGGGATGAGACGGAAGAGTAGTCAGGCAAGCCAGGGGTTAAACAGGAGAAGAGCAGGATCAGTAACAAGCAGAGGTCGGCAACGGAGTATACAGCAACACAGGAACAGGATACAGGATACAAGGGCTCATGGGAAACATTTACACCAAGGCACAGATCACAGGCCTGGTCATTCCTTAAATACACCTGCTGTAATCAGCCCCAGGTGTTGGCAGACTGCAGAAGTGAGCTTCTGGCTGCTGAGAGCACCCGTTGGTCAGCCCTGGTACTGCAGCCCACACGGCAGGTGAGTCCCACCACCAGTACTGAGTCCATTCCTGACAGTACCCCCCCCCCTCAAGGAGCGGCCTCAAGTCCCTAGTGGGCAAAATGTTCCACCGCCCGGGTCAGGTAACTGGCTGGCTATCTTATTGCCGGAGTCAACCGGCTGGCTGGGTTTCCTGCTGGCAGACTTCTCTTTATGTAGGGGAACCCAGGAAGGCAGGTCGCTGGACACAGGATTTCCAGGAGCAGGCTGGGAATCAGTTATTGGCCAGTTTAGCTGGACATCAGGGGCTGGCACAACAGGCTGCACAGCGGACAGAGGCACATCAGGCTGCGCAACGGGCGGAGGCACGCCAGGCCGGGCAGCGGGCGGAGCAGCAGGCACCAGGCAGGCGGCGGCAGGCACCGGGCCACCAGGCGGAGCGGCAGGCACCGGGCCACCAGGCGGAGCGGCGGGCACCGGGCCACCAGGCGGAGCGGCGGGCACCGGGCCACCAGGCGGAGCGGCGGGCACCGAGCAACCAGGCGGCACGGCAGGCCCGGGCCACCAAGCGGGGCGGCAGGCACCGGGCCACCAGGCGGAGCGGCAGGCACCGGGCCACCAGGCGGGAGCGGCGGGCACCGGGCCACCAGGCGGGGCGGCGGGCACCGGGCCACCAGGCAGGGCGGCGGGCACCGGGCCACCAGGCAGGGCGGCAGGCACCGGCCCCCAGGCGGAGAAGCAGGCACCGGGCCATCTGGCAAGGCAGTGGGCACCAAGTCACCAGGCGTGACAGCTGGCTCTGAGTCAACTGGCACGACAGCGGGCATCGGGTCACCAGGTATGACAACGGGCACTGGGTCATCAGGCATTGGATCGTCTGGCTCGACAGCAGGCATCGGGTCACCAGGCATGACAGTGGGCACTGGGTCATCAGGCATTGGATCGTCTGGCAAGACTGCGGGCACCGAGTCATCTGGCAAGACCGCGGGCACCGAGTCATCAGGCACAACAGCGGGCTCTGAGTCAACTAGCGGAACAGCGGGCACCGAGTCGTCTGGCAAGACTGCGGGCACCGAGTCGTCTGGCAAGATCGCGGGCTCCGAGTCAACTGGCGGAACTGCGGGCATCGAGTCGTCTGGCAAGACTGCGGGCACCGAGTCGTCTGGCAAGACTGCGGGCACCGAGTCGTCTGGCAAGACTGCGGGCACCGAGTCGTCTGGCAAGACCGCGGGCACCGAGTCGTCTGGCAAGACCGCTGGCACCGAGTCGTCTGGCAAGACCGCGGGCACCGAGTCGTCTGGCAACGAGGCGGCAAACGCGGGCACCGAGTCATCTGGCAAGACTGCGGGCACCGAGTCGTCTGGCAAGACTGCGGGCACCGAGTCGTCTGGCAAGACTGCGGGCACCGAGTCGTCTGGCAAGACTGCGGGCACCGAATCAACTGGCGGAACAGCGGGCACCGAGTCGTCTGGCAAGACTGCGGGCACCGAGTCGTCTGGCAAGACTGCGGGCACCGAGTCGTCTGGCAAGACTGCGGGCACCGAGTCGTCTGGCAAGACTGCGGGCACCAAGTCGTCTGGCAAGACTGCGGGCACCAAGTCGTCTGGCAAGACTGCGGGCACCAAGTCGTCTGGCAAGATCACGGGCTCCGAGTCAACTGGCGGAACAGCAGGCATCGAGTCGTCTGGCAAGACTGCGGGCACCGAGTCGTCTGGCAAGACCGCGGGCACCGAATCAACTGGCGGAACAGCGGGCACCGAGTCGTCTGGCAAGACTGCAGGCACCGAGTCGTCTGGCAAGACTGCGGGCACCGAGTCGTCTGGCAAGACCGCGGGCACCGAATCAACTGGCGGAACAGCGGGCACCGAGTCGTCTGGCAAGACTGCGGGCACCGAGTCGTCTGGCAAGACCGCGGACACCGAATCAACTGGCGGAACAGCGGGCACTGAATAGTCTGGCAAGACTGCGGGCACCGAGTCGTCTAGCAAGATCGCGGGCACCGAGTCAACTGGCGGAACAGCGGGCATCGAGTCGTCTGGCAAGACTGCGGGCACCGAGTCAACTGGCGGAACAGCGGGAATCGAGTCGTCTGGCATAATAGGATCATCAGGCTGGGTAAGGGCATCAGGCTGGGTAAGGGCATCAGGCTGAATTGTGGGCGCCGAGGCACCAGGCTGCACCACAGAAGGCAGGTTCTCAGATGGCAGGCTGACCGGTTTGGATACTGGCAGGATGGTATTGGTTGGAAAGAATTTTCGCCTTTTCCTGGTTTTAGTTACCGGAGTACTGTAAGTAAGTGCAGGTTTGTAAACGGATGGAGCAGCTGAAGACAGGGAAGAGCCAGAGGATGGAACAAAGGAGGGAGCAGTTGCTACAGAGGGCTTCTTTACAGGGTAAAAGGCAGGATAGGTGCAGCGAGTGGGAACAGGGGACTGACATGTGGTAGCTAGCAGAGTATACTGGGCTGTCACCGGGGGTGCTGTGGGAACTGGAGGAAGAGAGCTTTGAGCAGAGTAATGGTTAGAAGCAGGACTGGGTTGTTGCAAGCTGACTGAGGCTGGATGTAACAAATCTGTCCATGTCTGCAGTACTGGCTGAACAAAGCTCAGCTTACACAAAGCCTGTCTGGTCAAAGACTGCACTGCGCGTTTATACAATCCCTAAGCACCTGTTGTGAACATGCAGAATAATGCTCCAAGAAGCACTCCGGATCATCCTCTAATAACCATACCAGGGACTCTACCTGGTCTGCACTAAATGGCGGCAAAAAGTCATCCCTTCCCTCAGGGGCACCAGACGAAGCCAACTCTGCACAAACCTGAATTAATGGCTGCACCTCAGAGAACTCTGTGCCCTGATCCACTAGAAAATGAGCGATCCGTATGCATTCTAGCAGCTGATCCCTGGTATACTCCTGCAGAGTCTCATAGGCATAATCTCTGTCATCAAAGACTAGCAGACACAAATATACAACATCCTCAGGATGCATCCTTCACAACAATAAGCCAAGATGGCTTCCCTGTGCAGCCACTTCTGGTCAGGACTGGCCTTGGTGTTCGGTTAGGGATCCGGGTGTGACCAGAAATGTGTGGACTGACACAGGGAAGTAGCAGGCTTCAAGAACACAGGCGTAGTCAGGGCTGGAGAGGTGGAATGGTCAGGCAGGCCGTTTGGTACTGTTAAGCCGCCTGGCAGAGTCTCTAGCAGCCCACCGCAGGGACGCCCTCAGGGCCCGGGGTCTAATTCCCAGCCTGCTGTTCACCAGGGCCCCTGATGGTGGGGATGGACTTGGTGCAGACTGGAACCAGGTCGCGACCCCCGAGTGCAACCTGCGGTGGTAGAGAGTACTAACAGGGGAGTGCAGGAACGGAATCTAATTTGGAAGAGGCAGACAGATACACTGGTCTGATCCGAGCCGGATGGATGGATGGAAGGTCGGGTACAGTATGCGTGGTCAGACAGGCCGGGTCGGTATTATGCGGGCAGCAAGGTACAAGAGGAGCGAGCTAAGAATGGTCAGGTCACAAGCCAGGTTCAGCAGGGTGCGAGCAAATACAGTACCAGGGATGAGACGGAAGAGTAGTCAGGCAAGCCAGGGGTTAAACAGGAGAAGAGCAGGATCAGTAACAAGCAGAGGTCGGCAACGGAGTATACAGCAACACAGGAACAGGATACAGGATACAAGGGCTCATGGGAAACATTTACACCAAGGCACAGATCACAGGCCTGGTCATTCCTTAAATACACCTGCTGTAATCAGCCCCAGGTGTTGGCAGACTGCAGAAGTGAGCTTCTGGCTGCTGAGAGCACCCGCTGGTCAGCCCTGGTACTGCAGCCCACACGGCAGGTGAGTCCCACCACCAGTGCTGAGTCCATTCCTGACACTCTCTGTCTCATCATATATAAAGATGTGGGTTATAACCGAGGGAGACTATAGCATAAAGAAACAACCATGAAGAGAGGCTGTGAAGAAACGGTTTTAGATGAACCCAGGCAGAGTAGTTCAAAATACAAAAAATTATTTATTATAAATCTCACAGTAAGGTGAAACCTTGCAAGGTAAAAACACACACACCACAAATATTAAAAGAATCAACAATCCGGATTGCGATATCCACTGGCTACTATAGTATGCCAATCATCACGAATATATTCTAATCAATATATAGTAAACACAACCCTGTAGTGGAATCACACAGCAATTCAATAATTAGCTTTACTAAAGCAAAAGATAAATCATCAACATCATAAAGAGTAACCATGTTAGATAAAAAAAATTGGTAGACATCTGAATGATATAGGTTCCTATCATCCTGTGAAAAGGAAATACTAAGGATCAAGTACATAATCCAGAGGAACAAAAATCAGTCAGTCCCATATTCATGTATGTACATCATAAAGGTAAAAAAAATTATGTTGTGAAGCAATCGTTATATAGTCATCAGGGACTGCAGGAAAATACATGCCAATTCCAGCGGAAATATAAGTTGTCATGGATGTAAAAATCAAAAAATAAACCGTTGACATCATAGGTAATGACCTAGTTGGAAGAAAAAATATAGATGGGAATCTGAGTGATATAGGTTTCGGTCATCCTATGCATAGGAGATAGTGAGGATCACGTCTAGTCCACAAGAACACAATTCAGTCAATCCAGCATCCGTGAAAATATAACAGAGGTCAGATATGATGTTATAAAGCAGTCATTGTAGACTAATCATGTGCTGAGGATCATAGATTGCAGGAAAAAACATGTCAGTTCCAAAAGAAGTACAAGTGATTATAGATGTTGGGCTTCAGATGACACAAGGGTAAGAGCAGGACAGCATGTTGGAGATATGGAGGCAACCATACGTTGCGAGATCGTAATTGCGTCACTCACCAGTGGTGTATCTGACACTTCATGACTTTGTGGTGGATGTAAGATCTCGGACACTGGGACTGGCATGGTGACAATCAGGTACCCTGTTGCTTGCTTCCACTGGTCTGAGGAGACTGGGGACTATTGTGGCAGCAATCAGGAACAATGTTGCTGGCTTACACTAGTCTGGTGAGTCTGGGACAAGGTAGTTATACTGCATCAGCAAGATCTCCCCCAGGAGATTTCAAAGCAGACTGGGTTTCAAGGTGTGCTGTTCAGACTCTTTTAAAAAATCACAAGGAAATGGGCAACGTTTGAGGAGCGTAGACCCAGTAGTCAGCCAAGGAAACTTAATGCAGCAGATGAAAGACATCATGTCCCGTTGAAGTGCCATCAGCACAGAACTGGATGGGAACCAGTGGGACCCAGGTACACCCATCTACTGTCCAGAGAAGTCTGGCCAGAATAGGTCTCCTTAGAAGAATTGTGGCCAAAAAGCCACACCTCCGACATGGAAACAAGGCTAAGCGACTCAGCTATGCACCAAAACATAGGAACTTGAGTGCAGAATAATGGCAGTAGATGCTCAGGAGTGATGTCAAAATTTGAAATATTTGGATGTATCAGGAGGCAGTTTGTTCACTGAAGGACTGGACAGAGGTACAATAATGAGTGTCTGCAGGTAACAGTGAAGCATGGTGGAGGTCCCTTGTAAGTGTGGGGCTGCATTTCTGTAAATGGAGTTGGAGATTTGTTCAGGGTCAATGGTGTTATCAGTACTGAGAAATACAGGCAGATACTTATCCATCATGACATTCCTTTAGGGATGAGTGTGATTGGCCCCAAATTGATTCTGCAGCAGGACAATGACCCCAAACATACAGCCTATGTCATTAAAAACTATCTTTAGTGTAAAAAAGAACAAGGAGTCATGGAATTGATGGTTTGGCCTCCACAGAGCCCTGGTCATCATCAGAGTCTGTTTGGGATTACATAAGAGACAAAAGGATATGAGGCAGCCTACATCTACAGAAGATCTGTGGTTAGTTCTCCAAGATGATTGGAACAACCTACCTACTGAGTTTCTGTAAAAACTGTGAGCAAGAATTGATGTTGTTTTGAAGGCAAAGGGTGGTCACACCAAATATTGATTTGATTTACTTCATATTTTTGTTAATTGATAAAAGTAAACTATTAAAGCAGTAGTAAACACCGCTAGTACCTACAGGTCAGCTTACAATAAACAAGGAATATCTCCCATCTTGCCTAGCTTTACAAAAAATTCCAGGACAGTAGAGTACCCCTACTGAAAATGATGGGGGAGGTAAGAATGTGAATGGGCCCAGAAGCTAGAATGGTTCTGATGATGTCTGAAACCTGCACAATGTGAGCATGCAGGTGTGTCAGCTGAAGTAGTTAAGATGCACACTTTAGTGAAACATAAGGTCCTTCAGGTTTCATATAATTCTGAGAATGTTTATGTGGGTTTCAGAACCTGATTTACAAAGGGGGAAAATAAATTACAATAATTAATAAAACACAACTATTTTTTCAGTTGAAATACTTGAATAGTAATCCACTTGAGCGATTACTATGTGGGTGTATGAAGGAAAAAAAACTGCTGTGTATTATTGTTGGTTTTTATTACTCTTCTTTGTAACTTTGTTTATAGATTTGTAGGTTTTGCAATTGTGTAAAGCCTGAGGTAGAGACCCAATGAGTCCCAAAAACTTGCATCTTTCTTAACTTAAGTTACACAATAAAGGCTATTACCAACACTTCAAACTTTCAGTTATTACATGGGAAACACTGGTATTCTGAAAGTCCAAGCTGGTATCAACATATTGGTACCAGTACAGGCAGTCCCTGAGTTACAAACATCCAACTTACATATGGCTCATACTTAAGAAGGGAGGCAGCTTGACATCACACTGGTCCTGGAAATCGCCGGGAGGCCATCTTGCTGTTCACCACATGCTGCAACCTACTGTCCGGCGGACCTGTCAGCAATCCACATCACTGCATGGCCAGTTAACCATTCCCTATGCTATCCAAAAACTTAAAAATCATTGGAGTTACACTCAAAAAATGTACTTGTTCCAACTTACATATAAATTCAGCTTAAGAACAAACCTACAGAACCTATCTTGTTCTTAACCTGGGGACTGCCTGTATAATAGAAACATAATTAAACAATTTTTCAGTTCAGAATATGAAAATTGCAGTCTCTACATGCCTGCTCACCCTTGCCCTATCATTCGGTAGGTAAATGGATAACAATAAAACATACCCAAATAACTGAATAGAATAGACAGTTTAATCAAAGAAAACACACATTGTATTTACAAAAGAACTTAATGCTATGCTTTTGGTTTCACTTAATGGACTGGAGTCTTTTTTCAACCTATGTTACTATGGGGCATATTTATAAAGCAGTGCATGTGAGGTTCAGTAAATGTTCATTGATAGTGAATCAATGTCATTTAAAACACATGCATCTGCAGAGAATATTTTGCGAATGTCAGATACAATGGTTTATAAATATACGCTTATGTAATCAGTGTTAAAGTTCCACTCCTCTTCTGAACCATAGCCCTTCCTATATGCAGTTCTGTTCAGTGGTCACAATTTCTTGCAGCATGGCATCTCTATTTTCTCTTGTAATCTAAAATGAAAAATGAAATATATTAAACAATGTTTACAGATTTAATGCTCTTCTATGAATAGCTTTTATTCTGCAAAATGGGCTTTGCATGAAAATAAAAAACTTACCACTATTTATTAGTGCCCCCTGACCCATGTAAAACGACAAAGTCTAATGAAGCTCATTTTTGTTTCAGAAATGTGCTAAATTCAACTAAAAAACTTTTTTGAAAATTGATCTGTTTGCACCTTGTATTTCAAGACAGAAAAGATCTTCATATTGTATCAAGTTGAAATCTAAACTTCTTTTGGAGGCCTTAATTAGAAAGGAATAGTAAAAGTAAGAGAGCAGTTCCTTCATATTTTCCCAAGACTGCTTTTACAAAAATAGCATTTCTCTAAGAACATTTGTATATGAGTACTTTATCTGAATACAGGGATGCTGCGTAAGTGCATTTTTATGTAAGAGAACACAGTCACAATTGTAAAAGACAAATGCTGCACCTTTCTCTTTGGGTATTTTAGTTATCCTGTTTTCTTAAATACAGGAACATTGCATGTTTGTTCTTTGTGTTAAAGCAAATCTGTTGCTGTGTTAAGAAAAATCAAAATCTCAGACTGTAAAAGAAGAAACTTTGTACTTACGTTTCTGTTGGGTGTGCTATTTTTTTTCTTTTTTAAAGGACACTATGTGCTATTATTATTCAAAACATTTGGATGTGTGCCCTTCTGGACAAATCAGATCACCCAGCAGGCAACAAGATATTTGACAGATCCAAAAGAGTTGGATAGCAGCAAAACCCAAAAATCTTCAAGAGTGCAAAGACTGTAATCTGATTGTAATGTGTAAAATAACCAGTACAGGCAGTCCCTGAATTACAAACATCCAACTTACATACTACTCATACTTAAGACGTCATGCTGGATCTGCAAACTGATGGGCAGCCATCTTGCTGCTCACCACATGCTGCCACCTACTGTCCAGCAGACAAGTCAGCCATCCCACATCACTGCATGACTAGTTAACCCTTCCGTATGCTATCCAAAATGTAAAAATAATTTTTGGCCTGGAGTTAAACTTGAGAAAAATGTACCTGTTTCAACGTACATACAAATTCAACTTAAAGTAGAGCTCCACCCAAAAGGGGAAGTTCCGTTTAAGGACTGGTCCCCTGCTCCCTGTTAAAGATTGGCACCTTTGGAAAGTAGGGGGGAGAGCAGGTACCCCTGTTTGAAAAGTACCCGCTTCCACTTCAATCGCCTAGGCGATCAGAAGTTGTAGTTGTCCTCTTCCACCCCCCTACCTGTAGTCTTTTGGGACATGTGACAGGGACTATGGGACCATTCAGAAAGTGCAGCGCTACCCGCACATGCACAGTGGGC